GGTACACTTGAAGTTGTCCCAGAGGCTCCTTACATTATCTTCATATTTTTGGATTCTTTTTTTCTTTTTGCTCTTCTGATTGGATGTTTTTTTGCTTCCTCATATTCCATATGGTTGATTTGATTCTCAGAATCCTTTACTGTTGAATACCTATAAATTGCTCTTTATTTCAGTCAGAGTATGCTTAATTTCTAACTGAACCTTTTTCATGTCTTTGACATTCTCACCAAGATCCTTGAAAGTCTCATCAAGATCTTTGAGTAATCTTATAACCATGGTTTTGAACTCTGTATCCAGTAGTTTGCTTGCTTTCATTTGTGACATGTTTCTTTGTCTCCACATTTTGGCTGCTTCCCTGTGTTTGTTTTTATGCATTGGGTAGAGCTACTATGTCTCCTGGAATTGGTAGAATGGCCTTGTATAGTAGGGCCCAGTGGCTTAGGATCCCCAGTCACCTGAGCTTGGCACTCTAGGTGTACCCCTTTGTGAGCTGTGTGCATAGTCTTGTAGTTGAGTCTTGATTGCTGTTGGCGTCACTGGGAGGAATTGACCTCCAGGCCAATTGGCTGTGAGGACCAGCTCTGACTACAGTGGGAGAGCTGCTGTGCAAGAGGTAAGGCCCAGCTGTGAAGCAAGGCAGGCTGGTGCTAATGCCCGGTCTTGGGCTTTTTATTGATAGGTTTGGGCATGCTGTCACCAGCTGCAGCTTGTTTGAGAGATTTTAGCAAAGTCTGAAGCCTGAGCCAGGACAGGCAATTCATATAGAAAAGCTGCTGTAAACACCTTGGGTGCGGCTGCAAATTGGATGGATAGGGCAGTGGTCCTCAACCTTCTGGCCCTTTAAATACAGTTCCTCATGTTGTGACCCAACCATAAAATTATTTTCATTGCTACTTCATAACTGTAATGTTGCTACTGTTATGAATCATAATGTAAATATCTGATATGCAGGATGGTCTTAGGCGACCCCTGTGAAAGGGTCATTCGACTGCCAAGGGGGTCGCGACCCACAGGTTGAGAACCGCTGGAGTAGGGTCTCAGGGAATCCTCAAGGTGGAGTAAACACTGTGAGCCACGCTGATGGAAACTCAGGTATGGCTGCCAGTCAGCTCTGCATTGGGGGAGGTCCTAGCATCGGAACAGTGACCCTTGTGAGCACCCCTGTCTGGGAGAAAGCCACCTCTGAGTTCTTGCCCTGATGTCAGACAGTCCAGTTCCTCTCTCTATGTGTGCTGGAGCTCAGAGGTGTGGTGTACTGGCCCTTTAAAAGGAACAGCTGCATCTCAAGCAGCCTCTGTGTCACTCAGCCACAATCCCTGCTGGTTTTTACAGCCCAAAGTTTCAGGGACTTCTCTTCCCAGCTCTGGAATCCTGGGCTGGGGTTCTGGTGTGGGGCTGAGGCCCCTTGCTCCTCACAGGCGGCCTCCACAGAGACCATCTCCCTCCCGATTAGTAAAAACAGCCCACATGGGTACTGGACCAGCCCCTTCAGCACCTCCACCCCTCTTACCTGTCTCAGTGTGCTTTCTTCTTTAATTCTCTAGTTGTAGTACTTCCATTCAGCTAGCTTTCAGATGGTTCTGAATGATGGTTGTTCTGTATTTTAGTTGTAAATTTGATATGGTTATTGGAGGTGGAGAGTACTGGCATTTACCTATGTCACCATCTTGGTTCTCCTAGCCTGTTATATTTGGTCAAACATTTAATTGACTCACCCCTAATGCCTTGGCAGGGCCTGACCAAATGAGTTCGCAGGTCTTATATAGCCTGCAGGCTAGACATTCCCCACCCTTGCTTTAGAGAGTTGGTGACAGAGCTGCAGGCCATACTTACAATTGAGACTTAGTCCAAGGATGCTCAGTAAGCCACTGTTCCCAGAACTATTCATTACATTGTATTTCTTTACCCACTTTACACACACACACACACGCATGCACGCATGCACGCGCGCACACACACACACACACACACACACACACACACACACCCGACTTTAAACTTAGTGATTTGTATGGTCTTAGTGGGCAATTTCTTTTTAAATTCTCACCAAAGGATATGTTTCCATTGTTCTTTAGAGAGAGTGTGGAAGGAAGGGAGAAGGAAGAGAGAGAGAGAGAGAGAGAGAGAGCGCGCGAGAGCAAGCACATTGATGGAGACACATTGAATGGTGTGGGGAATCAAACCTGCGACCCTTCAATCCATGGCCTGAAGCTGTAACCACTGAGAAAAACCAGCCAGGGCTTTAGTACAAAATTTAATTCTGGAAGTGATTAGGCAGAACATGAATGGCTAAGATCTGATGATTAATAGGTCTAGGAGGAAGTGAAGGAAGGAAGCCAAAGTCATCAAAGAATCTTAGTAGGCACTTATTGGCTACATGAAAAGTGGTCCCACTCAGAGAATGTGGGTAATTGGAAGATGAAGAGGGAATTACTTAAAATTCTATTTCTTTTTCTTTTGGCACATAAAATCATATCCATGATTTCAGCTTACAAATTCCATTAATATTCTCTATTCTTGGAAAAGAGTATGCAGCATTACTTCTTAATTTTTGTGTTCAAGCAACATTAACTCTGGGCCACAGTAAGCTCTTTTTCCTTCATGTCATATTATGGACATATAAGTCTTAGGTTTTCTGTGATGTATGTCCTAAGGTTCTGGAATAGAATGATTACACATCATTTCTTTCTCTTCCCGGCTGTATCCTTTCTTTTATGTGTTTAGAAAATCAGGGCATATCTCAAACATGTATAGAAGTGCATTAAAAAAATACAAACACCCCTGAACTACTCACTGGCCAGATTCAATAAATAAAAACATTTAGCCATGTATACTTATATGCTCTTTACTTTTTTTGAGAAATAAAGCATTAAAGAGTTGATGCCTCCTTTTTATCTTTTTCTAATCCCATTCCTCCCTCTCCTTTCCTTGACGCCACCTCTATTCTGAGGTTGATATGAATCCTCCTTGTTACCATACAAAAGTAATTTCTTAATGAATTGTTACCTATTTTTAAACTTTTGAAATTCAAAGGGCAGAGTAACTAATTTTATGGTTTCTCTATCATGAATCATTTTCAATAACTCAAATATATATATTTTTTCATCCCTGGGCAAAAGTAGTCACATTTGAGCTATTGCTAAGACTGTGCTTAACTACATAAATATTTTTTGTTCTCTGATCACATGTGACATTCATTAAATAGCCTATATAATAAAAGGGTAATATGCAAATCGACCCTAATGGCAGAATGACCAGGAACGACCCATTGCTATGATGCATACTGGCCACCAGGGGGCTGATGCTCAATGCAGAAGGTGACCCCTAGTGGTCAGTGCACTTCCACGGGAAGCTCTGCTCAGCCACAAGCTGGGCTGATGGCTGCAAGCTCAGCGGTGGTGGCAGGAGCCTCTCCCGCCTCCTTGGCAGTGCTAAGGATATTCAACTGTGCCTTAGGCCTGCTCCCTGCTGCCAGAGGGATGTCTCACTGCCAGCTTAGGCCCGACCCCCTGGGGAGTGGGCCTAAGCTGGCAGGTGGACATCCCCCAAGGGCACCTGAGCTGCCAGAAAGATGTCTGACTGCCAGCTTATTAGGCCCAATCCCCCACAGAGCAGGCCTAAGCCAGCAGGTGGACATCCCCCGAGGGGTCCCGGACTGTGAGAGGGCGTAGGCCGGGCTGAGGAAACCCCCTGAGTGCACAAATTTTTGTGCACTGGGCCTCTAGTCCTATATAATAAAGAGGTAATATGCAAATTGACCATCATGCCCTCACAAGATGGCTGCCTGTGACCAGGCCGGCAAGGGGGTTAGTGAGGGACGACCAAATGACTGAACAGCAGGCTGTGTGGGGTGACCAGGCAGGCAGAGGGGTTAGTGAGGGATGACCAAACGACTGAACAGCAGACTGCGTGGGGGGACCAGGCTGGCAGGAGGGGCAGTTGGGGGCAACCAGGCCAGCAGTGGGGGCATTTGGGGGCAACCAGGTTGGCACGGGGGGCAGTTAGGGGCAACCAGGCTGGCGGGGAGGGGTGCAGTTGGGGGCAACCAGGCCAGCAGTGGGGGCAGTTGGGGGTGACCAGGATGGCGGCGGGGGCAGTTAGGAATGACCAGGCCGGCAGGGAGGGGTCAGTTGGGGGTGACCTGGCCGGCAGCTGGGGGCAGTTAGGGGCAACCAGGCTGGCAGGGGGTCAGTTCGGGTGACCAGGCAGGCAGGCAGGTGAGTGATTAGGAGCCAGTGGTCCAGAATTGTGAGAGGGATGTCCAACTGCCGGTTTAGGCCTGATTCCCGGGATCAGGTCTAAACCGGCAGTCGGACATCCCCCAAGGGGTCCCGGATTGGAGAGGGTGCAGGCTGGGCTGAGGGGACCGCCTCCCCCCCTCCGCCCCCCATGCACGAATTTCGTCCACTGGGCCTCTAGTACAGGGGTGGGCAAACTTTTTGACTCGAGGGCCACAATGGGTTCTTAAACTGGACCGGAGGGCCGGAACAAAAGCATGGATGGAGTGTTTGTGTGAACTAATATAAATTCAAAGTAAACATCATTACATAAAAGGGTACGGTCTTTTTTTTTTTTAGTTTTATTCATTTCAAATGGGCCGGATCTGGCCTGCGGGCCGTAGTTTGCCCACGGCTGCTCTAGTATATAATAACATTCCTGAAATATTCTTTAAAAAGTCTTCATATTTACCTTCTATATCTAGGGAGAGTGAGAGAGGAGAAGGGACAAAGAATGATTTTTTTTCAGGCCAACTTATTTGAAAACTAACAATATAAGCTAAAAAAGTGAAGGAAACATATTTAATGTGTGCTAGTAGGACTTGTATCTCTTAGTTTAATAGTCTGTACATTTTTGATGCACTGTATTATGGGCAGCAGCATGAAGAATTTAATGTTATATTGCAAAATGTTTGTGGTTAGTTTAGATGGGAGGTCAGTGTGATAACAGAGAAAATCTAACAATTAACTGTGCTGTTTGTTTTGTCAAAATATGCTGCCCAGCTCCAGAGTTCCCGATTTTGGAGAAGCAGAATTGGTTGATACATCTCCACTATATCCGGAAGGATTATGAAGCATGCAAGGTGAGAGATAGAAATGATAGGCAGACTTTGGTTAGGCGGCTGACAGTGTCTGTCACACAGTTTCTATCCTGCTAATAATGTATGAATTGCTGTTTTCCCATACTTGGTGTATTTGTTAGCCTTTGCTATGATAATGCTGCTTTAGAAACAACTTTAATTCCAATAGTCTCCAACAACAGACGTTTATTTATTGCTCATGGGCCTTCATATTGGCTGTGGGTTGACTGGGTTTGACTACAAGTTGTGGGTCAGGTTCAGGTATGTTCCATGTGTCTTCTCATTTCAAGTAGAAAGAGGAGCCTGTATTTTGCTCATCAGAGTTTTTTCATATTTTTCTTAGCTTTACTAGATAGGTTTTAGGTAGGGGTTAGCAAAATTTTTCTTTAAGGGACCAGATGGTAAATATTTTAGGCTTTGCAGGCACAAATAGTCTCTGTTTTATAAGCTTAATATTCTGTTTGTTTTTTGTTCTTTTTTTTTTTTTTTTGATAACCTTTAAAACTATGAGAGCTGTTTAAAAGTAGGCTATGCAGGTTAGATTTGGCCTGTGGGCTATAGTTTGCCAGCCCCTATTGTAGAATAAGTGGTCATAACAAGAGAGTTGAGATTTTTAAAAAATCTAAATTAACTACTTTATTAGTAATTATCCTGGATTCTTACATTTGCTCCTTGTTCATTGTCTACCCTTTCTTAAAAATGCTTGAAGGCATTTAATCATTCTTCAGAAGTATTTTTCTTCTTTCAGGCTGTTATCAAAGAACAGCTTCAGGAGACCCAGGGGCTATGTGAATATGCTATCTATGTCCAAGGTAAGACATATATTTCTTTTCTTCTTGTTAGAGGAATGCACACTTTGCCTAGGTTTCTGGAAAAAGAGCAAACAACTTATGCTTAAATTCAAGTGAGTGTGCCACAAAGGTTTTTTTTCAATGTTGGTTTTTTATCTTATTTTATTTTTAAATACTGTGCTACATTTGCTTTAATTTATTTTTTATTTTTATTGATTTCAGAGGGGAAGGGAGAGGGAGAGAGCGATAGAAACATCAATGATGAGAGAGAAACATCGATCAGCTGCCTCCTGCACGCCCCCTACCCGGGAATCTAGCCTTCAACCAAGTCATATGTCCTTGACCGAGTCGAACCCGGAACCCTTTAGTCTGTGAGCCAATGTTCTATCCAATGAACAAAACGGGTTAGGGCCAGTGTTGGTTTTTTAAATTGGAACATAATTCTTAGGCTAGATTTGACCTCAGAAATGACTGGTTATGTTAAAAAAAAGTTGCTACTATCCTTCATCCCATTTCTAGTTTCTGCCTAGTGTTTTTCAGAATGGATATTAGGGTCCTTGCTTCTGCAGTAGTTTCAGGCCCAGAAAAGTCTTTGAAAGGGTTCCTTGTAATGAGGCTAAAAGAGATGAGGAAAGACTTGAGGATTTTTAGTAAGGTGAGTCGGGATGAAGGGAAGAAGCCCAGAGATATACAGGATAAAGCAGAGAATAAATGAAATTCATTAGAAATCAAATATGAAAACCATTGCCTGAAATTTTACTCTTTAGTGCCAAAAGTTGCATCCCTAGTTTTCCCATGAACTTTCTTTTTGACCTCTTTTGTATAAGTGAGTTATTTTGTTGACCACTCATAGCCTTTGTGGTCTTCAGATTTGTATATAATTTTTTGGCATAATTAGTAAAATATTGACACATCTAGGACATCATGGCAAAAAAAAAAGTTCTTTTATTCCCAATGTCACAAGTTCAGTGCCTCATAATGCTTAAGCATGGAAATTCTTTTGTTGTTGTTGTTGTTAATCCTTATCCTAGGATATTTTCTATTGATTTTTAGAGAAAGTAGAAGGGAGGGGGAGAGACACAAAGAGAGAAACACCGATATGAGAGAGACACATTGATTGGTTGTCTCCCGACCAGGGCTAGGGATCAAGTCTGCAACCAAGGTACATGTCCTTGACTGGAATTGAACCCGGGACCCTGCAGCCCACAGGCCAACGCCCTAGCCACTAAGCCAAACCAGCTAGGGCAAGCATGGAAATTCTTCTGAAAACTTAGGCCTAGGAAAAAATATTGATTCTGAATGGTTGCTATACTGATAACCAAGTCTGAATATTACTGCATTTTTTTTTTTTTGCCAGAATCTCCTTGTTGGACATGGGGTGTGATTGTCCTTGCCCTATTTGGGGAACTCTCTGAAAACTGAATTATGATAAATAGAGCATCTGATAAGGGAAGGTTAAGAATGTTTATGTGTAGTTTATCTGGTTATTTGCAAGGCACCGATTATCTGTGTGATAGATACTGGGAGTGGAGAGGGTTAGGTAAGTTTGAGGCACCTTATTAAAAAGGTTTTAGCCTAGCTGTGCCCCTGCACTGGGTGCACAATGGCGCCAAGGTCCTTTCTCCTGATAGTGCAAACTCTTGATTCCTTCTTCCTGCATCCATTTCCCTCTGAGGTCACCCAAGCAACAGAAGCAACAGAAGCAAAAGCAAGGGTGGTAAACAGTCGGAGAGGGCCATGTCTCATCCTCTTCCTGCCCCTCCCTAACTTCCATCCACCACCCACTGTCGCAGAGCTGTAAAAAATGGGCAGTTTGCAGAGGCGCAGCTGGAGCCTGCAGGAAGTGGAAGATCTAAATATCTTATATTCAACTAGAGCTGCAAGCTATCTAAAGGAAGGAAACTGCAGTGACTACATTCAAGATTGTAACAGGGCTCTGGAACTTCATTCTCAGTCAAACCTCTTTTTCAACTGAGCAATGGCAATGAAACTTTAGAGAAATATCAGAAAGCTTATGTGAATTATAAAAGTGTTCTGCAAATAGACTGTGGAATCCAGATAGCAAATGATAGTATTAACAGAAGAACAAGAATTTTAATGGATCTGAATGCATCTAGCTGGTGGGAGAAGCTGTCACCCATCGCTTTAGTACCCATTTCTGTGCAGTTGTGAGCTTGGCAACCTGTGGCAGAGATGCCCCCAGACTAAGTGGGAGATTCCTGCAGCCATTACCAGCTGGGCATCACAGATGAAAAAAAGTTTAAAATTCTTAAGAAAGGAAATCAATGTGTAAAGGACAAAAACTATAAAGATGCCCATGGTAAATAACACGAATGCGTAAAGATTAACAATAAGGAATGTGCTTTTTATACAAACAGAAGTTGTTACTTGAAGCTGTACCAGTTTGCAGAGGCAAAGCAGGATTGTGATTAGGTGCTTCAGATAATGGGTGTGTGAAGAAGTCAAGAATCATCAGAAAAGTTTAAATGATCTCAATAAAGTTCTACTAGACTCAAATATTGAGGCAAAGGTGGAACTAGTAGCCAGATTCCTTAATATTAAGGAGTAGAGGTCCAGTGCACAAACTTTGTGCATGGGGGGGGGGGCGTGGTCCCTCAGCCTACCTAGCCTGTGTCCTCTTGCAGTCCAGGACCCCTCACTCCTTACTGCCTGCCTGCTAGCTGCTCCTTAGTGCTGCCGCAGAGGTGGGAGAAGCTCCCGCCATCTCTGAGGCGCTTGCCAGCCGTGAGCCTGGCTTCTGGCTGAGCAGCGCACCCCCCGTGAGAGCATACTGACCACCAGGGGGCAGCTCCTGCGTTGAGCATCTGCCCCCTGGAGGTCAGTGTGCATCATAGCAACTGATCGTTCTGGTCATTCCACCCTAACGGTCGCTTGGGCTTTTAAAATATAGACTAGGGTCCCGGTGCACAAAATTCGTGCACTGGAGGGGGATGTTCCTCAGCCTAGCCTGCCCCCTCTCACATACTAGGAGCCCTCAGGGGATGTCCTAGTGACAGCTTAGGCCCGCTCCCTGCTCCCCTTGGGGAGCAGGCCTAAGCCACAGTCTGGCCTCCCTTTGTGGGAGGTGACCGCGCTGATCAGGGGAAGGCACCAGGCCCATCACCCCGCTATTGCAGCCACTGCCAGTCACTGCAGCCACCAAGGTGTTTTCATCAACACGGACTCCAGTCCCTTCACCATGAAAAAATGACAACTTTCTTTAGGCATTTTCAAGATGTGTCTTTCATAGGATATGACATTTCTTTATTATTTTTTTTTATCCTCAGCTGAGGATATGTTTCCATTGATTTTTAGAGAATGTGGAAGAGAAAGGGAAAGACAGAGAGAAACATCAAAGTGAGAGGAACACTTTGATTGGTTGCCTTCTGCATGAGCCCTGACCTGGGTCCCGGCCAGGGAGGAGCCTGCAACCTAGGTACATGCCCTTCGTCAGAATTGAACCCAGACCCTGTGGTCGGCAAGCCAAGGCATTATCCACCGAGCAAAACCAGCTAGGGCAGGATATGACATTTCTTAGCCCTCCAGGAGCGGACCTTCATTTTTTTTCTCCAGGAGTGTGGTGAAAAACCCTAGATCACCTCTTTGGATTCTTATTACCCAAATTACTAAGAATATTACCAGTGGCATACAGGGAGCTTAGCCAATGAGTGGTTAGAAAAAGTGTTTCCTCTGTAGTTCACACCAATCACTGGCTTGGTCCCTCCGGCCCAGGCCTGTAGCCTCTGGCTCAGGCTTCAGGCTTGGGCAGGGTACCCCCATCTCCCCACCAATCACCGGCTCCGCCCTCGCCCAGGCCTGACGCCTTGGCCAGAGGCATCAACCCCCATCACCCTCCCATTGCCGGATCGGCCCCTTGCCCTGGCTTGACGCCTCCACCAGAGGTGTCAGGCCTGGGCAGGGGACCCCCATCTCCCTCCCATCGCTGGCTCCGCCCTGGCCCAGGCCTGATGCCTCGGCCAGAGGCGTTGACCCCCATCACCCTTCGATCACTGGATGGGACCCCCAAACCCCTCTGATTGCCGGCTCTGCCCCCCGCCCAGGCCTGACGCCTCTTGCCCTGGCTTCAGGCGTGGGCAGGGGGCCCCCATCTCCCCCCCATCACCGGCTCCGCCCCCCCACCCAGGCCTGGTGCCTCTGGCCCAGGCGTCAGGCCTGAGCAGGGGACCCCCAGACCCCTCCAATTGCCGGCTCCGCCCCCCGCCCAGGCCAGAGTTGTTGACCCCATCACCTTCCGATCGCCGGATTGGCCCCTTGCCTAGGCCTGACGCCTTGGCCAGAAGCATCAGGCCTGGGCAGGGGACCCCCATCTCCCTCTGATCACCGGCTCGGCCCCCCGCCCAGGCCTGACGCCTCTGGCCCAGGTGTCAGGCCTGGGCAGGGGACCCCCAGACCCCTCCAATTGCCGGCTCTGCCCCCCGCCCAGGCCTGACGCCTCGGCCAGAGGCGTCGACCTCCATCACCCTCCGATCGCTGGATCGGCCCCTTGCCCAGGCCTGACACCTCTACCAGAGACGTCAGGCCTGGGCAGAGGACCCCCATCTCCGCCCGATCACTGGCTTCTGGGGCCGGCCTGTGGCAGGGATCGGATCCGATCACTGGCGGCAGGCCGGCGGCTTCTGGGGTCACACAGGGGGGCCTGGATAGTGGCTCTTGCGCTGGCTGCTGCACTGTCCTGCCCTGACTGCAGTATGCAAATTAGCCGCCATCTTTGTTCCCCCCCCCCCCACCCGCCCCCCCCCCCCCCCCCCCCCCCCCCCCCGTCATCAGTGCACGTCATAGTGAACGGTTGAATGGCCTTACCATATCATTAGCATATTATGCTTTGGTTGATAGGCCGACTGGACAACCGGACACTTAGCATATTAGGCTTTTTTTTTATATAGGATAATATAGCATCATTCAACAAAGAAAAGGAGAGAAGGAAAATTGAGGTTCAAAAGTTGAATGAAGGCCTTAAGAGCCTAAAAGGACCTCAGAGGAGATCTCTACTGGCTGCCTTGCTTCTGAGAAGAGGGAAACAAGCAATGGGCCACTAGAATACTATGAAAAACTATTGTTTGCCAAGTCTAACAATGCCTGTGAAGTTAGTTTATAAATGCTATCACTAGGAAAGATAAGCCAATGCGCAACTTTTAGCCATCACTGAACTGAAAGATTTGGCGATATTGTTGAGTAACAAACTTGAAGGGGATATATTCCTCCTCCCACTTCAGTCTCTGAAAAATAATCTTATTGCCAAATATTTAAATGTCTTCTCCCTCCTATTTTTTTTCCTCTTTTAAGCTTGAGCATATTTATTCCCTTAATAAAAGGAAAGTGAAGAACTCCTCACACTGAAAGCTCCTTCGTTAACTGAGTCAAAGTAAAGGTATTTCTTACAATAAAACATTCAGGTCTCAAAAAAAAGAAAAGAAAAAGAAAAAGGTTTTAGCATGTCAGCAACTTTGCTATTTGTTTCAACCCAGCTGATTGTGTTGAAGATGTAATAATCCAAAGAATTTCTTTGGTATGGTTTTCCATCTCCCATTTCTCCAATTTTTCTATATCAGGCTCTATTCTTCCCAGAACACGACTTTACTTTCTTTGTTTTCTGTTTCTTGGCAGCACTGATATTTCGCCTGGAAGGAAATATCCAAGAATCCCTAGAACTCTTTCAGACATGTGCTGTTCTCAGCCCACAGAGTGCTGATAACCTCAAGCAGGTGGCCAGGTCTTTGTGAGTATTGGCAGTCCTGGAGACTCACGGAAAACGCTGTGTAATGAGCATTCGCAAGCAGAGGCTGCTTCTGGCAGCCTGATCAGCCTCATCCATAGAGGGAGAGTTGCTTAATCGGTATAGTGGGATTCACTTTGAAGAGTGTAGATTAACTTTGAAATTTGACAAAATGAGATAACTCATATAAAGTTTGACAGAGGAACACTGATACTGGTTATCATATAAATACTGACTTTTGTATCCTCAGTCCTCTAATCTTATTGGCAACCCATGGAAATTTTCTCATCCAACACTTAGCATAATATTTGACACACAGTAGATTTTTAGTGTTTGTTGAGGGGATGCTCTGAAGGTTCCTGAATGCAAGTAACCTCCAAAATCTTTCTAAGCTGTAAGGCACACTAATAGCTTTACTACCCCAGTACAATATTCCAGTACTAAAGTTTCTGTGGGGTTCCCATCCCTAATTTTTTTTTTTAACCTACATTGTAATTTATGCCTGTACTATCTTTGCATAGAGCCTAGTTTTCCCCTGTTTTCTCCAGAACCATGATCCAATATCAAGGAAATAGGCTTGGGAGCGAAGAGCATGTCCCTAATAGATAATGGTGATAAATGATGGCAGCTCTTGCTTAACTGGTACATTATTTGGTTTGTTTCTTTTCTGGTCTACATTTGTAGTACACTGTAGAAAATAAATTACAGAAGAAATAAATTACTAAAATTGGTGTAGAATTTGATCAAGGCACTGGAACTGTTACCAATGCAGTCCCTACCAAGAGAGCTTCTGCTGTTGGTATACAGCAGCCTCACTGGCCGAACCAGCACAACCAGCTCATAGGGGAGAGGATTCCAGAATTCTCAGCTGGATGGAATTTGAGTCAAATGTGGGGCTAGTGGGGTTAGTCTTCTAAAAGGTTTGAGTTAATAATTATGGAAACTGTATTTCTTCCACAGATTTCTTTTGGGGAAACATAAAGCTGCCACTGAAGTATATAATGAAGCAGCTAAACTTAACCAGAAAGACTGGGTAAGTAGGGAACTTTTAGTTCTTTGTTATTAGTAACATGCTAATGGTTCCATTTATCGTATGGCTGTCTTGTGTTATTACTGAATTCTTACATGCCAAAAATGTCTTGATCCTCACACTAAATTGATGATTCAGTTAGATATAAGATCAAAAACCATGTTTCCGCATAACTTAGCAGCTATTGCTGCATGGTTTTCTGGCAGGGAGTGTTGCTGTTAAGCAGTTCGCCATTAATCTGATTCCTATTGATAATCCAGCTTTCCTCTCTAGAAATGCTCTCCTTTCTCTAAAGCTACCTTAAGTAAAGGGAAACTTATAAAGGGAATAAAGAGATTCTATAGAGCTCTAGGCCAGGAAATACAGGCTGGTCTTACAGTGAACTAGAACTGGAAAGCTGTCAGCACCAAGGTAGCTACTCTTCATTTCTGTTTTATTTCTTCTTTTTGTAGATCAGCAGTTGGCAAATGTTTTATGTTTTAAAGGGCCAGTCAGTAAATATTTTAAGCTTTGTGGCTTCATATAGTCTCCGTGACAACTAATGAACTCTGAGATTCTAGTGCAAGGGTGGGCAAACTTTTTGACTCGAGGGCCACAATGGGTTCTTAAACTGGACGGGAGGGCTGGAACAAAAGCATGGATGGAGTGTTTGTGTGAACTAATATAAATTCAAAGTAAACATCACTACATAAAAGGGTATGGTCTTTTTTTTTTTAGTTTTATTCATTTCAAACGGGCAGGATCCGGCCCGCGGACCGTAGTTTGCCCACGGCTGTTCTAGTGTGAAAAAATCATGGACAATACAAATAAAACTTTATTTACAAAATAAGGCATTTGCAGACTGACTCCAAATACATATATTCGATTACAGTGCCCTCCATAAGGTGCTGTCAGTCCCAAAGTTGACATCACCTAGTGAATTCCTAGATTCCTAGGAAAAGGAATCCCATTAACACATATATGTACATGTATCTCCTGAGAAGAGGGCACAAATGGAGTGATCTCTTATTTGTCCTGCTTTTATGTCTTATAATCTGTGGGGGTTTTTTATATTAAGGAACCCATTTTTTAGAATTAAATATATTTGAGTATGAAATCTAGTAAAAAACTGACTGTAATGCATATTTTAAAGTTTAAACTTTGCTGAACAATAACAATCTCTAGATGACTGTTGTTTCACTCGAATATGTACTGTGGAATTTACACCTAAGCTGTTTTCTTTTGTGTGTGTAGGAGATCTATCATAACCTAGGAGTTTGCTACATTTATCTGAAACAGTTCAACAAGGTAATTTATAGAAATAGGGGTGGCTGGTGATTTCACTGAAGGTACACTTGTTACAGAGGTGCCATTACTCATTTTGTATTATTCCTAGTGCTTGCAGAGATTTTTGGAAGTAAAAATTGAAAGTGCCATATACACCTATCCCCATTTTTCTTTTCATTTGCTGTTATCCATCTTTTTTTTTTTTTTCCTGCTTTTAACAAGAAAATGAGAAATTCTAGAAATATTATGAGGGAATGGTAATCTAATTCCCCAGATTAATTTTCTAGTATAGAAGCAAATGTTCAGTAAAACTTAGATATCAAAAAGTGGACCATTGCCCTAGCAGGTTTGGCTCAGTGGATAGAACATCAGCCTGCAGTCTGAAGGGTCCCGGGTTCAATTCCTGTCAAGGGGACGTACCTCCGTTGCAGGCTCGATCCCTGGCTCTGGTCGGGGTGTGTGTGGGAGGCAACCAATCGATGTAACATTCTCACATCGATGTTTCTCTCTCTCTGTCTTTTTTCCTCCCTTCCACTCTCTTTGAAAAATCAATGGAAAAATGTCCTCATGTGAGGATTAATAACAACAAAAAAAGTGGACCTTTAATTCTTAAAAGTGTAATCATGACCATGGGAACTCTCTTATGCTCTGATAGCAACTAATTTTAGTTTTTAAGGTCATTGGACATGAATTTTAAGTTACAAGTGGATTTGATTTCTGAGTTTCAGTTTCTAAGGTTATTTTCTATGTGAGAATTTATATTTTATTGTGATTAAGCTGCAGGTTCTAAGGCTCTTATATCAAATAAGTACCAAGTACCTTGGTACTCAAATATAAGAAAAAATGTATATATCTTAACTGAGGGATAGATTAAATTATTGAGAGCTCTGAAAGTTAATGATAGTGGGTTGCATAGAGCTTCCACTTAGTGATTATGAAGTTTTATTCTCTTATCTATAGTGCTGATAGGACTAAGAATCTGAGTTGGTTAATATCCATTTGACAACATTTAATCTATCCCTCAGGAGCGTGAAAAAAAAAATCTGTACATCAGCAGTTGAGGTGTGAGAGTAACTTTTACTCTTGTGAAATACATAATAATATGTTTAAGTAAAAATAAATAAATAAATGAATAATAATTTAAAAAAAAAAAAATATATATATAGTGGGCCCCTGTCCACTGGGCAGATCTACAGTGTTATATATTTGGTTAGGAAATTTTTCTCTTCAGAGGATATTCCAAGCAAGTACATTTCTATTAACAGGATTATTATGAGGCAAGGGAGAGGCAGGTTGGTCTTTGTTCAGATCTGTAAAGGAGAAGATTATATTTAAATTTTACTGTAAAGCTAACAGAGCAAATACAATACTTGACATTTATTGTTGAACCAATGAATCACTAAAAAAAGTCCTTTTGACCATCAACTAGGAAGGATATAAGCTTTTCCAGAGCAAGGAGTTTGTTTTGTTAGCTCTAATATACCTCGCATCTAGAACAACAGGTACTCAGTGAGTACATATTGAGTGAATCAATGAGAACAATCCATTCATTTATTTATCAAAATATTGTTGAGGAAAATGAAGTCCACTCTGGGAAAGGTTGTGCAGTTGGTCACTGGTACAGCTGGGCAGTGCTGTATACTGTACTATGATGTCCCTTTTGACTTGTGAAGTATGAGTCATGGGTATGATTATTAAGAAGCAGAAAACAGCCCTGGCTGGTTTGGCTCAGAGGTTGGAGCATCAGCCCGTGGACCGAAGAGTTGTGGGCTTGATTCCCTGTCAAGGACAAATACCTTGATTGTGAGTTCAATTCCCGGCCACAGTTGGGGTGCATGCGGGAGGCAACCAATCGATGTTTGTCTTTCCAGTCGATGTTTCTCTCTCTGTCTCCCCTGCCCCCTTCCTCCCTTCACACTCTGTCTGAAAATGAATGGAAAAAATATCCTCAGGTGAGGATTTAAAAAAAAGAGAGAAAAGAAGCAGAAAACATTCAAAAAGTTAGTCGTCTTGTAAAAATTCTTCCAAGTGGCTCCAGAGGCAGATACTTCATGTTTCCAGCTGTCCTGTCAGCAAGTACAGTTTTGGTACGTGTTGTTATTTTTGACTATTGGCTGAAATGGGATGCCCCTATATTAGTATAGCAGGAGCTCCTTTTTTGCTCTACCCCTACAAAGCCATTGTCCTTTCATGGTAGTGATTTCATTCTCTTCATCAATCTTATTAGGCACAAGACCAATTGCACCATGCCCTACATCTTAATAGGCATGATCTGACTTACATAATGCTGGGGAAGATTCACTTGCTGGCGGGAGACTTGGACAAGGCCATCGAAATCTACAAGAAAGCTGTGGAGTAAGTGCCTGTTTCTGTTAGAGCAGAGGTGGGGAACATCTGCCCCGTATAAGGCCCATGAAATCATTTGATCTGGCCCTGCCAAGGCATTAGTGGTGAGTCAATTGTTTGACCAAATATAGCAGGATAATTTTTAAATTGATAATTTTGTATGGCCCACGAATGATCTTATAAATATCTAAATGGCCCTTGGCAGAAAAAAGGTCTCCCCAACTCCCCAGCTTTAGAGCAAGGAAGAACTTAAAAAAAAGGGGGCGGGGGGAGTAGATATATGAATTCTCAAGCCTATGAGAGAATATATATGACTGATAACTAGTTGTATGAATTAGAGTAAATGTTAAGTAAGCTAAGGGTAAGAAATCCCAATGGCCTAAATAAGGAAGATTTGTATTTCTTTCTCACCTATTAGTATGGCTGGTTTAGCCTAGGTGGGCGGCTCTGCTCTACAAGGGCAATCAGGGACCTAGGTTCCTTCATTATTAACTCACCATTGGTTAGGTTGTTGTCTTCACCTGCATGGTTGAAACTGACTTACTATAACCACCATGTTCTGGGCTGTGGTGGGGGGAGGTGGTACCGGAAACTAAGTACTGAGTAAACAGCTTGTAGTGTTTAAGTGGCCCAGAAGTTGCACACCTCATTCATGCTTGTGTTCCATGGTTCAAAATTAATGAGGTGGCCACATCCAGCTATAAGGGAAGTGGGCACACATGCTTGGGAGGAGGGTCTTATTAGCATGAGACCAATATCTTGTTGTTTTTGTAAAAATACTATTTTTTTAAAAACTCCTCTTGATGATGGAACTGACTGGCTTTCCAGGATGGTGTTCCATGTTTTCTTTGTAGACACACGTTATCTTGCCTTTTCTGTATAGGGTTTTGCCTTGTTTTAAATGGGATAGCTGTCGCCATGATGCTTTAATGTCTCATTTGTTTGGTCATTTAATAGAATTCCTGGTCACAGAGTCTAGTATTCCTGGTAATTAGACTACGAACTAAACTTAATTTGTTAAATTAATATGTTCATTATCTTTGTCTTCTTCCATAGTAATGATATAGCAACTTTTCTGGTTTTATCAGTCATAACAGCTTTCTGAATTTTCTTCAATCATATTTTGTGCCTAAAAAGATAGAAAAACCCCTTGGTTTGTTAAGTTACAAGAGAGACTTTTGTCATCAAGAGGCTATGTTTATGTGGACAAGTAGGAAGGAGCCCACATAGCATATGTTAAGCTTCCGTGGGGCTGCTGGAACTTGGTCTCTCAAACCAAGTTCACAACTGGCTTCCCCCATCATTTCCAAATTTATATTTCTTGTCTGTGTATTAATTTGTGTGTCAGCCCTTTCCAGGTCTTTGAACCCAGGCCACGCTGGCTGTTGTCTCACATCTCCCAGTGGTTGGTCAAGGACTTAAGTCACAAGAATTTCCAAGAGACAGCTGAGCATTTGGAGCCTCACTGAGAATGTGGAGAGCCACAGCTTGGAGATAGCAGTTTTGGTGGGGGGAGGGATGCTGCCAGAATCACAGAAGTTAGTTTGGGGAAGGGAGGTGATGCAAATGGATATTTATTATGGCAGAGTGAAGGGCAAATACTCAGTTGAACTGAGTAAGCTTTGTTTGGCCAGCTCAGGTCTCCCTGGCTGGGGTTTTGGCCCCTCTGATTCTGGTCGCCTGATAGGTAACCAGCATCCTACCTCATTGCTTAGAAGCATGCAACACTGTTCCTCACCTTTGGCATTTTTACTGTTGGTACTGTCTAATGATCCTGTAGTCAGATCATCTTAGCTCAGGGTAGCTTTAGTTTTGTAACAAAGACAAATATTAGTGAGGGATTGGGAAAGCAGATAATCTTTTACCTAAGCCAATGGCAAATTCTTTCCCAGAGCTGGTATGTCTTCCTTTTTTTGTTTAGTTTGACTGTTTACCATGGCTTTTTGTTTAATATGTAGAGCAGAGCATTAGGGCCCTTGGGATCCTAAATTACACAGAAAATTATACAGGTTGCCATTGTGCATACAGTGAGAACAGGATAAAAAAAAAAAAAAAGAAAGAAAAGAAATCCCACCAGAAGGAAACTGGCTAAAGCTATGTGTGTTCCATACTGACTTGGTTTATAAAGAATTATTCTTTAGTTCTGTCAGTATAATAAAGACAGTCACACAAAATATTCAATAAGTTTTGTCTTAGGACTTAGACTCTAAGAAATGGTCCTGAAAAAGAATCTGGATTCTGAGTCCTATTTCTTTCTTGTTGAGCAATCCTCCCTGTAGTCAGGGTTGAGATGACATACTATTGAAGGCAGTTTCCCAGTCGTCTTGGAGAATTTCCATGGAGAGTGGGACACACTGTCTTTCAGATGTTGCCTGAGGGCATGTTACTGTGCATGTGCCTCAGTATCTCATTCACATCTTGTTTCCCTTTGAGCATCTCTGTGTTCATCTCTGTGTTGCAGGTTCTCACCAGAAAATACAGAACTTCTTACAACTTTAGGATTACTCTACTTACAGGTAAAGAGAACTCTTTACTCATTCATGCATTGATGTTAGAAATACTTCTGGATTTATGTGTATTGTGGTTTCCTGCATTTTGATTTTATTTTAACACATTTTACTAAAGTTCATATGAAGCACACCAACCTTACTCTCTGTATTATTATATTCTTTATCTCTTAAAGGAATTAATTTTCTGCATTCAAATAAAAACTGCAATTATAATTTTTAAAGGAAAGCGCATATATGAGAAATAACTGGTCATGAGGACTGTCATTTTGTTGTGGGGAGAGAGACTGATACAAGTTATCACTATCAGGGCTTTGGAGCTACGGCCATTTCTGTTGTTCCTTCTTCCCAGCCAGGTCCTATAGGAAAGAGAAGGTAAAACATTGTCTAGAATAAGAAGTCTGTCTCCTTCCTGCGTGTGAATGAAATTCTTTTAGCTCAATCACTTCTTATCAGCCTGAGCACTGGGGCCCAGAGGTCCTGGAGGGACCTCTACCCGTCCCATTCCCCCATCAACTCCCAAAGTTCACTGTTCAGCTGATCCTGCCTCCAGTTCTGCCTCTTTGGTAGCCTTTCTGTTTGTTTCATTTTTCTTTAAAAGGAATTAGGAGTTTAATTCCTGGGCCTTCCTGGCTTTGGCTTGGGAGACTGGCCCCGGGGGAGGTGAGGCTAACCAGCCCATTTCCTGCCAAGAGACATTAGTGTGGAGCATATTATGGCAGAGATAGTTCCTGGCAAATGGATACTTTGATTTTATCAAGAGACAAATGTGGGGATTTTTAGTTTTCTTTTTCTATCTGGTATCTGTAGCTCTGTTTTGTGAAGAGAACTCAGAAAAGTCAGGGTGCTTCAGGGTGTAATTGGCCAGACTGCCGAACCGCTATCTCCTTGCTGATACAATTCTCTCGTTTGCTTTTTCTCCAAGGTTGGCATTTACCAGAAGGCATTTGAACACCTCGGAAATGCTCTAACTTATGACCCTGTCAACTACAAGGTACTGCAGGCTATCAAACCCCAGAGCCTTCACATAGATGGTTCACTCCTAGAGGTGATCTGGCCCTAGAAAGCATTTTGAATACCTGAGAAATTACCTTTTTCTTAGAAAAATTATAAATAAACATGGCTCTTCTCATTTGAAAATATTGTAAGGTGTTGGTGTTCTGCTTGTTATTTTCCAAAGGAGCACATTTGTTATAACAGACCTGTAACTTAGGCAGAAAGCAAAATTGTAGTGCTGGTAAAGTTTTATGTATTTAGGAAATTAGCAAAGCCTCCACAATTACTGTCAAAAATACTTCTGGTGAAATGATTTCTAGTTTCTTAATGAATTTGCAATTACAACCTTGTCCAGATATGTCTTTAGGGGTGAGAAGATCATCAAGTGGATGAATGTCACTGAGGGAGATGCAGCATAACAGGCTGTGAAGGATACAGACTCAGTCCTATCTCAGAACCCTGGACTGATGAAGCCTAAAGCTGTGTCTGTCACCTTTGTGCTGTGGCAGAAGGAACTGTACTTTAAGTGGCCAAGAAAGGAGTATTTGAGTTGTCTGGAGCAGCACGTAGTGTATCAAGTAGAGGCTACAGGGAACAGATTAAAGGCACTATGATCAGAAATATTGCCTTCTCCAGTTAGAAGTAGGAAACAAATGAGCTGGGTAAAGTCAGTGACATTTTATCTTTTCTTTTTCTGTACTGTGCCAAAGAGAGCCAGAGTGTGGGGTGCAGTGGTTTCTCATGAGCATTTGTCCCAATAGCTTGAATATATTTTATATGTCCCTGGAAGTTTTTCAGTCATGCTGAGCAGGTTATCTACACCCAGGACGGCTCCTCCACTGCTGTAGCCTTTTGGGAATGACTGAATTATCAACTTCCCATGTCCTGTGTTTTCAGGCCATCTTGGCAGCAGGCAGCATGATGCAGACCCATGGAGACTTTGATGTTGCCCTCACCAAATACAGAGTTATAGCTTCTGCTGTTCCAGAAAGTCCTCCACTTTGGAATAACATTGGAATGTGTTTCTTTGGCAAGAAGAAATATGTAGCAGTGAGTGTCTCCTCACCTTCCTTGTTTGTGTTACTGGGTCTGCCCAGCTTGCCCCACCTTCATCAAGTGCCCCTCTCTCCTGCAGGCTATCAGCTGCCTGAAACGAGCCAACTACTTGGCACCCTTTGATTGGAAGATTCTCTATAATCTGGGCCTCGTTCACTTGACCATGCAGCAGTATGCATCAGCTTTCCATTTTCTCAGTGCAGCTATCAACTTCCAGCCAAAGATGGGGGAACTGTACATGCTCTTGGCGGGTAAGAGACTATTGTGTGGAAACCCTCTCCAAAGTCTGTAATAAGGGGAAAATGAATTAGAATCATTGGAGGCCAGTGGCTAAATGTACTGCAGAAGCCATTCCCTTGCAGGTCCCATAGGAATCTGGATTATTGTGCTAGAGCTTGAAAAACAATGAAGAAAATAATGATAAGGCACTTGGTTGTTTCTAACTTGGGGCAGTTTCACTCAGAGACCAACAGGTTAAATCAAGATCATCCTCGTTTATCTTTTACCAAATGTTTTCCCTTGCCTTGACTATTTATTTATATGTATATATTGAGCCCAGCTAAGTTCCAGATATCATTTAGCATACAAGGGATATATCTTATAGGGTTGACGAGGTGATTGGGTGATTAAGTAACCAATGAATATGAACTATTATTGGTTTTATTGTTAGTTACTGTAATACAAAAGATTGACTAAATATTCTTTCTAGGGAATATTTCTCTGTCCGAAAGCAGTTTGCTAGTTCTCATTGACTTTTGTCTTCAGGTGTTGTTTTAGTCATTATTGTGGGGTTCTTATAAGAGAATGGGTTGCAAAAGCAAATCGAGTGGTGGTTATTTGGGGGTTGCCTGAATACAAAGCTAGCCTAGTTCTAATGGGGATAGGAATGTAAACAAATTGCCACACTGTACGGCACAAGCAGCAATTCTGACATCACAAAGTAGAAAGGGCCTTCACACTGTACTGAAGGCTAAGCTGGAATTCAGTCACACAGAATGACTGAGGAGCCAGAGAACAAAGGCATGCAGCCATGAAACTGCACGCTGTACCCTGCCGTTAGCGGGTAGTAGTGCTATAGAATGTAATGGGAAATGAGTCACGAAGGATAGTTTGGGGTCAGATGATGGAGAGCCACGAGTATAATGCAAGGACATTAGACTTTATCCTCGAAGCCATTTTCCCAGCTGTATTCCTAGATCTCTTAAGTGTCTGGTAGAAGTGAGCCCAGGTTGGGGGGAGATGGAGTGGGGAGGCCTTCCAGAGGAATGCTGTTATTGTCTTATAGGTGAGGCTTTCAGGAAATACTGGTTTAAAAGGTGAGTGTGTCCTGATGCTAAACAAATTTTAAAGATCAGGATTATGGGTGATGGAGGGTCAGTGAGGATTCTTAAGCAGGATAGTGACATGTTCAGATTTGTTTGAAAGTTGTTGAGAAACCTGGCAGCATTGTGGCAAGTGGATGGATGCAGATGGGGACATTGCCACAGCTTGAAACAACTTGGGCAGGGTCAGAAAAGAAACTGCAAAAAATGGTGTTCAGATAACTTGGCAACTGATTGACTGTGGAAAGGGGACTGTTGAAGATGACACCAGGTAACTAAGCTGAGTGAGTACATGGTGGTGCTAGTTGCTGAGGAGGCAAAGGAGCAGTTAAGTTGTGGGGGCTGAATGAACTGTGGTCTTGAAACATTCCTTTTGCTTTCTAAGCTAGGCTCTTCCGTCTCAGTCCTCACTTTCTTTGTTTCAGTGGCTTTGACCAATCTGGAAGATACAGAGAATGCCAAGAGAGCTTATGCTGAAGCAGTCCGCCTGGATAAGTAAGCTGCACCGTGGGGAATGGTATTGGGGAAGGCTAGACTCTCCAGAGCCACGAGGTGGCATTAGACCACTGGCTTTGCCTGAGTCAGCCCAATTGCTTGCTCTCCGTGGCCTTTGTGCACAAGGCATGTGTGGAAGGGTGTGATACAAAGCCTGCAGTGGCTCAGCAGGAACTGCCACTGCCACTTTCTAAGAGAGTGTTTCCAGCCCCAACTTTAGTAGTTCAGAGGCCAGAGAAAGTCAGAGATGGCAGTGGACTTGGGTGCTGGTAGCCATGGGCTAGATGGAATATCAGATGCAGTTCTGGGCTCAGTTTAATCTGAGATAAACGTGACTCTCTCCATGTTTATTCCATTGGCATCGGCTAGGCAGCAGGGTAGGGATCACTTCTTCAACCCACCCTGGTGGTCCCTGCTGAGGGCTGAGATGTCAGACTTGGTCCTAATACCTGCTTTGCTGGTGGGCAGTTATTCCTTGATTCTTTCCCACAAGTCCACACATAGCACATGTGTTCCTCGTACCTTGCTGCAGAATGGAGAAATCGCTACTTATAATCAGTTTTGTTTTTTGTGTAATGAGAATCTAAATGACCATTGGTTGTGAAGCCTAAGCTTCATAGAATCCCTGTCTGTTTGCCATAGGTATAACCCTTTAGTCAACTTGAACTATGCTGTGCTGCTCTACAACCAGGGTGAGAAGAGGGACGCCCTGGCCCAGTATCAGGAGATGGAGAAGAAAGTCAACCTACTCAAGGACAGTAGCTCTTTAGAATATGACTCTGAGGTACGTCTTTTTAAAAAAATATTTTTTTATTAAATATATTAATATTTATATTAATACTAGAGACCCAGTGCACAAAATTTGTGCAAGGGGCTCGGCCCTTGTAGCCACAGCTTTGTCTGGAAGGTCATCCAGACGATCGTTCTGCTGTTTGGCCGTCCGGACTAATTAGCATATTATGCTTTTATTATTATAGATATAAATGAGGAAGAAAGGTAGAGAGAGATAGAAACATCAATGATGAGAGAGAATCATTGATTGGCTGCCCTACATGGGGATCGAGCCTGCAACCCAGGCATGAGCTCCAATCAGGAATGGAACCTGTAACCTCATGGTTCATAGGTTAATGTTCAACTGCTGAGCTGTGCTGGCCAGGTGTCTTTTTTTTTTTTTTTTTTTTAATTTTTCTTTTAGAGAAAGAGGCAAGGGAAGGGGGTGGTGTGTAGAGGAGAGAGAGACATTGATTGGTTGCCTCCTGCACATGCCCTGACTGGGGATCTGAACCCACCACCTTCTGGTATACGGGATGCTACTCAACCAACTGAGCCACACTGGCCAGGGCACGAGGTATGTCTTTTATTAGCTCCTAAGGAGCTATAAGCAAGCTGTCAGCAAACTTTTGATCAAGCCCAAATAATCCAAAGATAACCTGTTATAAGCTCATGCCTATTTTGGCTTTATGTTCCTGGCAGCATGAATTATTCAATTAGTGACAGCCTGAAAAAAGAAAAAAAAAACTTGCCTAGAAGAAAATAGTAAGAGGAAATTCAGGCTTACTGAGCCTGTTATTGATAATACAACTCCTCTGAGTTGAGGCCCATATCTCATTGTAACTTCCTCCAACTTCTGTAGGGAAGGTGGACTTTAGCTCAGTAACATACCAAACTTGAATTGTTAGGTTTGAGATCCTGTATGAATTCCCTTGCCTCACTAAGGGCAGTCTGTGATTTCTGCTGTTTGAGAAATATTTCCTTGTAATAAGTATTTCCTCCCTCAAATGCTAGTACCAATAGTCACTATTTCAGCTATAACCCCCCAGGTGGAACGCCTAGGAAGTGGGTAGGCTTGTCTCTGCCGGTCATACCTTGATTCTTTTTTTCTTCATATGTGTGCACAAGATGGTGGAAACGGCTCAGAAGTTGGGAGCTGCTCTCCAGGTTGGGGAGGCACTGGTCTGGACAAAACCAGTTAAAGACCCCAAATCAAAGCAACGGACAACTTCAACCAGCAAAGCTGCCAGTTTCCAGCAGCCTCTGGGCTCTAATCAAGCTCTAGGACAGGCAATGTCTTCAGCGGCTGCATACAGCAAGCTACCCTCAGGTAGGAGGTTACACACGGTGCCATAAAGACCACATGTACCAGCAAAGAGGTTACAGCTTTGAGTGAAGCCTGCACTTTTCAGATTCAGAACCTGTCCAATGTAATATTGTTTGGAAGGGAGAAAAAGTCTCAAGGTGGCCAAATTGGCACTAGTTTCTTTAAAGCACGTTGTATATTAGGTAACCGTTACTGGCAGGCTTAATTGGATGGTTAGTACACTAGGTCTTTATAATATTCAAGTTTAGAAATATATTACAGTACTTTCTATTATATAGTCTTGCTTTAAATCTCACTGCCTTATCATAAGTTGACATGGTGCAGGTAATTAAAGATTTCTTTTAGTGAGTAATTGAAGGCAAACTCGACTGTTTGCTTCATTTCTTGTTATGGTCTAACTTCACAGCTGCAAAGATATACCACAGTCCCAGTGATGCCAGAAAACATGGGGTTTCTTAAAATTTAACAGTGAAAATAATGATTTCTTTGGGAATTCTGGAACAAGAATTCAAGTCACCATCTCTTCCTCTGGAGCTGGAGCCCGTGTGGAAGCATGTCCAACTGAAGCACCAGCACAAATAAGAGAAAAATAGGAATAGGATGACCCCAGAGTAGGGGTTTCTCTGGTGATAATGTACCAGATTAAGAAAGGTTACATGACACAGGTAGAGTGGAGGCCAGCACGTTCCTTGGGCACCAGAGAACACAGCATATGTTGTGGTGATCATGTGGAGCCTGAGGCTTCTGCAGTCCCCCACTGGTCCCCATCATCTCACCCAGGAAATAGAGAGAAGCCAGCCAGACAGGTCCTTTAAGAATTGAAAGCAAGGCTTATGGTTCTAGGTATTTAGTTCCAAGAGCCAGCAAGGTACATGACTGTTTGCTTTTAAAAGAAAAAATTTATATGTTATTTTAAAATTTTTTATTGAAAAAAATGTTTTAATTTTTTATTGATTTCAGAGAGAGATAAAAACATCAATGATGAGAGATAATCATTGATCAGCTGCCTCCTGCATGTCCCCTACTAGGGATCGAGCCCAAAACCTAGGATATGCCCTGACCAGGAACTGAACCATAACCTCCTGGTTCATGGGTCGACGTTCAACAACTGAGCCACACCAGCTGGCTTTGAAAGAACTTTAGTCTCCTGGCTGGCTGACCCCTTCCTTTGTGGGGAGGAAGTTGGAAACACCTTTGCTCTATACTATGGCCATTACAAAGCCTTGGCTTAGCTAAGGTGATCCTCAGGTTGTGGGGCATGTCAGCCCCAAGGCAAACACAAATCTTGCGTTTATAATTTAGCTCTAATAGTCTTAATTTAAAAGAAAAAAAAAAAGATGAAAAAAGCTCTGTAAATTTAAGCTGAGCCTGTCAAGTATCCTAGTTACACTTGCCCAAGGGAATCCAGAACAGTCCCTATAGCTTGTTCTTGAGAGAGGTCAGAGTATAGAGTCAGATCATGTCAGCATGATAAGAAGTAAGAGGGAAGGACTGCTCTGGTTATCAGCACCAAGGATTTATAAAGAAGGGGAAGAACTTTATTTTTAAAATTTTATTTCTTGATTGATTTTGAGAGAGAGAGAGAGAAAGAGAGAGGGAAATAGATATCAAAACACTGATTTGTTGTTCCACTTATTTATGCATTCATTGGTTGATTCTTGTATGTACCCTGACTGGGAGTCAAACCTGCAACCTTGGTGTATCGGGACTATGCTCTAACCAACTGAGCTACCTGGCCAGGGCAGAAGAACTTCTTAACCAAAGAATTTTAAGACAGTCAATGATACCACTGATGAGATGCTATCAATACGTTATCTATAGGTCGTTTTTTGAATAAAGACTGTGTGTCATCATCCCTTTGGGGAAAGTTGTTATTCAGGTATAAAAATGAGAGATCATAATAAAAACTTTTGAAAGAACCCATGATTAGAGTTTTCACTGACCTATTTCTAAGCCAGGTTTGAAACTGGAGGAGAAGGAACCTCATGCCAAGTTCCTATTTGTGCCAGCACAACCTCTGCTACAGCCCTAATAGGTGGTAGGCCAGCAATCTGCTTCAGAGTCAGTCCCCATGTTGTACTTAAAGTGCCCTACAGTCACCATAATTTGAAGGTGGAGGACTGACCTATTGCCAGGACAAACTATGTTTTTTGGAGTTCTTTATATTATGACTGGGTCTGTTTTGACATTGAAGCAGCAGCCGAGTTCCATACCTCAGAAATAAATAGTAAGGTAACAGAGGTGATACCCTTAACCATGCAGCTGGTATGTAGCAGAACTGAGGTTTGTACCCTGAGCAACAGAGAGCTCACTTCTATATCAGTGTGGCGTCTAGTGTGCCTCTGACTGAAAAGGTCTTGCTGAGAAATACAGAGGGTATAAAATAAGATAGATGGAGAGGGAGAAGGAGGTATGAGAGATTTAGGAGGTAAAAACACAAACCAGGTACTGGTTGGAAGTGGCAGATAAGAACAAACTAGGATGGATACCCATTGCTGTGGAGAGTTACACAAATCAGAAAAGAGGAACATTGAAGGAATAGGGTCAAATGTTGTGGAGTCTAGTTTTACTACACATGCTTATCTTTGAGACATCCAAATGCTGATAGCCATTAGACACTTGTATAGCTAGATTTCAAATGTGAAATCTGTCTTGAAGATAAAGAGTCAGAAATAATTGGGTTTGAGTGACAGCTGAAATCATAGATTTGAAAGGAACCACCCAAGGAAAGCTAGAAATAAGATGATGGGGAATTAAAAATGAAAACCCAATATTGAAAGGGAGAAAAGGAGCCTGCAAAGGAGACAGGAGAAAACGATACAAGAGAAAAACCAGGAAAGTGATGTTAGTAAAGGCAAAGGAAGAGAAGTTCAGGAAGGGAATGATCAGTCTCACTGAACCCTTCAATAGAGAGGGGCTGTTATCCTCATTTTATAAAGGAGGAAGCTGAGGCTGGGAGAGGCAAAATGAGTTTTCCAAGGTAAGTGGGAGGATTAGAATTTGAACCCAGGTCAGAATGCAGAGCTACTGCTCTTAACCATTAGCCATCAAGCAGTGATGTACTCTTGCTGAACTAGTGGCATCAACAGAGACCCAAGGGCTTGAAGACCGAAGAAGTGGAGACTGCTGTTATATCAAAGTAAAGGGAAGAGAGGTTTCTAGAGGGCAGAATTGAATTCATTATAATAATCTGAGAAAATTTTAGCATTTGGGGAGACAAGGGTAAAAAGGTCTTCTTTTTAAGTGAAGCATAGTGAAGACTGAGAGAATGCGAAGAGCAGGACTCTTCAGTTTTTCTATACTCTTTGGGGCAAGAACATAATGGCACCTTGCATTCCAGGGATAGCAGTCAAGAAACACATGCTTTTAACATTAATTTGATCTTAGATTTTCTTAAAAAATAAATACTAGGTTGTACCTCTTCAGTGTTTTGGGCATATGGATTTGCAGTTTTTCATTCACTCTGGTGAGAAAGGAGCTATTCTAATTTCCAGTATGGGATTGCTCATGTCATCACAAATTTTAACAGAGAGGAAAAGGAAAAGGAGGCCAAGCACATAATTACAGATAAAGTGGGAGCCATATTTCTGGCAGGAAAGTGGAAGTATGGACTAGCAAAGGGAAAAATGCCCTTCTTACTGAATAATATTAGTATAAAACTATGCATTCCAAAGACAGTATAAATCTGGAGTGTATGATTATAATGATTATGTTCTTAAGGAAGAATCATTATTATCTGATGATAGCAGAATAGCTCATGTTGGACCAATCCTCCCATAAATAGCAAATATAAACAAATAGTTTATATTTAATTAAAATGGTTTAATTAAAATGGTTTAATTAAAAAAATATATGATTGTTCCAAGCAAAAATTTATTTTACATTATAATGTGGGGTTTAACATATGCAAATGTAACTAAAGGACAAGGGGTATATGGAACATTATAGTTGAAAGGTTTTAAAATTTTACATAATGTGGTACAAAACTAATCCTAAATAGTTTGTGAAGAGTTAAGGCTGGATATTATAATCCCTAAAGCAACCATTAAAATGATACACAGAAATATAGCTAAAAAGACAACAGAGAAATTATAATGAAATTCTAAAAAATATTCAATTAGCACTTTCCTCCCCTAAAAAAAATGGACTGGAAAGGAAGAATGGAGGAACAAAAAAGAAAAAGATGGAACAAAGAGAAAATAAATAGCAAATATTAAATGTAAATCCAATCATGTTAATAATTACATGAAAATGTAACTAGACTAAAAAATGTAATTGGACTAAGCATTCCAATTAAAAAGCAGAGAAAGAATTAAAAAAAGAAAGCCCAGTTTTTGCAATTGAAAGTAAAAAGATGGAAAAAGATACACCATATAAACTACTGGCATAAGAAGTCAGTAATAATGTCTAGAGTACTGTATTAATGTCATACAGACTTCAAAACAAGGAGTATTATTAGAAATACAGACTAATTTGCCTGACAATTCAAAGAAACAGTCATAAGGATGCTCGCCAAACTTAACAGAGCAATAGAAGAACTTAGGGAGCATTTCAACAAAGACTTAGAAGATATAATAAAGAACCAAGCAGACGCTGTGGCTGGTTTGGCTCAGTGGATGGAGCATCGGACTGCGGTCTGGGGGGTCCCGGGTTCGGTTCCGGTCGGGGGCATGTGCCTTGGTTGCGGGCGCATCCCCAGTGGGGGGTGTGCAGGAGGCAGCTGATCGATGTTTCTGGCTCTCTGTCTCTCTCCCTTCCTCTCTGTAAAAAAATCAATAAAATATATTTTAAAAAAATAAAAGAACCAAGCAGAGCTGAAAAATACAATAAGTGAAATGAAAAACACACTAGATGGAATCAACAGATTAGCTAGTACAGAAGAATGGATTAGTGATCTAAAGAATAGACTAGTAAAAATCAACCATCAGAATAGTGAAAAGAAAGAAGACTGATATTTTAAGGGACCTATGACATCATCAGGCACAAAAACATTCACATTATAG